GTACTTGTCTAAGCTGAGATACAGCTATATACCTGGCTTTGAGAAGATGCTTTTCCTCTTTTTTCGTAACAACTTTCACTATAAGGAAAGATGCCTGAAAAAAAAAAATAGGCCCTATTTCTTTTGCAGTGACTACGTATCATCTTTTTGGTCATATTAAGGTCCAAACTCTCATGCACATTTTATGTGGGTATAATAAATTATGACACCTCTGAATAATAGCTGTCAAGAAGAGGAAAAGGATGAAAAGGCCACAGATACGCGAACTTGAATCTCTTGATAACCAGCTGGGTAGGGAAAAAGCTGTCTCAGAAATCCATTTCTAAGGAATATGTTGTATTTTATTTTCCAAACACACACTGGCCTGAGAGGAATACTATTGATCTATTAACCACAGTGTAGAAGACAATGTGGTACAGTCTTTTTTCCATCTCTCACTCCCTGAAGGTTTTTCTTTTGTTTGGGGGGTGGGGTGTTGGGTTTTTTTGGTTGTTATTTTGTTTGGTGGTGTGTAGTTTTGGGGTTTTTTTTGGTGGTGTTTTTTTGTTTGTTTTTTTTGGGGGGGGGACAGGGTTGAGAGAAAGGGTAAACAGGTATTCTCTTCAACTCTTCACAGGGTTGAGAGAGAGGGTAAACAGGTATTCTCTTCAACTCTTCTCATCTGATCTGCTTTGGTCTTCAGGCTGTCCCTGGCTGGTCCCGAACCACACATTCTGCTTTCTCCAGTACTTCAAAGAGAACAGTCATGGCTGTAAGGCTTGACTGGAAACCTCTTTATCCCAACATTAAAAGAGTTTCTGTACTCCACCCTCCTCTGTCCTTTCAACAACAAATGAAAACCAGCTTTAACAAGAAAGGGAGCTCAGAACAATATCCACTGATGGTCCATTAAGGGCAGCAGCAGGACAGCATCACAGTATGTGTGGAGGTGCATGAAAGAGCACTCTTCACTTTGTGTATCCTTATGGGTCAAGGAGCTGATGAAGAATATTTCAAGTAGCTTCAAAGTGATAAATTCTATTTACATTATCTCTGGTCATCTCCACTTACAGAAGAAAAGAGAAGGAGAAAAGGAGACAGAGTTGGAAGTTGGGTAAGAGAACAGCCTTAAGTTTGGTCCTCACAAAAACATCCCTTTAAAGACTGTAAAAGGAACAGCCCAAAACTCAGATGTTTACCTTCTGTTTCTCCCTAACACCCATCCACGTGTTTTCTTACTAGTGGTCTGGTTATGCTGCCTTTTCCATCTGTTATGCTGATCTTTCCACCTGTTCTCACCTCTGGCAACCCTTCAAGCACTTTTTGAGAAGGACCAAATTCATTCCTACAGTGTGATTTAGAAGTTGTGGAAAGTAATCATTTCACTTTATAAAATGAAGTGTGATTTGACAACATTTACACATTTGAATAACGTAGGCATCTTCTGATACAACTTCTTGGTACCATTTTCCTTAGTTTTTATTTCATTCTAGAAATCAGTTTGACTAGAAATCTGGCAGGAAAAAAAAAAATTTAATAAATTATGAGAACAGTTCACCTTACTTTAGAAATATAAATACACATTTTAAAACATCAGTGTCCAACTTCCTTCTTTCTCCTGCAGTACAGCTCCAAGAAATTTGAAAACATGAGGGGAAATCCCAACTAGATAAAACCACTGGACAACCCTCTAGAAAAATTTAATATAGATGCTTGAAAAAACTGTATATTCAAATTGCAACTGACCCAGCAAAACTGTAAAGTGTTTAGAAAATGTAGTAGTATTATTTGGGATAAAACAAGTACAATGAAGCATCAAGAAAAATTTCCTCCAAGTTATTGTATTTTACTGTAGAACATCAGCTCCACCTGCTGGTAAAAGTAAGTTCATGGAATGGCATGCTACAGTTTTGCACAAACCTGTTTGGCAAGTGAAGAGTCTGTGCTGTATGAGTTAAGAACTTTTGATTTAAAGAAGTAAAGAGTTGTATATCAAATGTCTATTCTAACAGTTTGATGACATGATGGCTTAAGAAAAATAGCTAACAGTGACAGTATTTCTTGGTCTATATATCACTGTAAGCACATGACTTCAAAAGGTTATTAGTGTGATGCATGCCAGTTGTAAAAATAGCTCCAAATATTAAGTCAGCTGTTTTTCTGCTAGCTATTAATTTTCATTAAAACCAAATTATGATTAACAACATTGTAATTAAAACCAAATCTATATAATCAAAAAATATAAACATAGCATCACAAGCTACGCATCTTTTAAAAACTTTCCTACTCCAAAACACGCTATGTATGTTTTCTTTCAATATAAGACATTAGTTTTCAAGCTGATTTCACTGGTTTAAATTTTTTAATTAACATTTTCTAAGAACAAGCTAGGGATGTGTGGTTAGTAATAAAATCTAGTACCTCTAGGCTTCTCTTCAAAGAATTCAGACCCACAACATAAGTCAATGTTGAAATGAGTATTCAATTAATTGAGGATTGTTTCAAACATAAAACCTCTTTATTGCTCTCAGAATTCTGTTCCAAGATTTTTCAAGTCTTTCCAAAAGTTGTCTTTAATTACTTTGTTGAGTTTTCTAAATAAACTCGTGACTATGTAAGATCCCATGTAATACTTGATATCTAAGCTCCAAACTTCGAAGCTTGAAGAAAATAGTGTAATTCTGGCAGCAATGATCCAGACACATATCTCCAAGGCGGTTTATTTAGGGAACACGTGTAAAAAGTTAGAACAGATATCTACATACTCCAATGACACCGCAAGTATATACAAAAAATTTCTGCTTTTAAATTTTAGTGCTAGGCTGACAAATGTATTTTCCCAAGAAAGGAAAATAGTTCTGGCTCTTCCTACACTTCAGAGACCAGTTATTTGAAAACCTTTTTGGACCTGTTTTCAGAGGAAACTATTTCAAGGTACCAATCATACAATCCAACCCACCAAAAGCCTCCAGTGATCAGTGAGAGCCCAGGCTACCCTGGAGTTCCACCAGTGAGACAGAGACACTTAGCAGCTGCTTTACTTAGGAGGAGTCTGGTAAAACATCATTAAAATAGAATCAAAACTTCTCCATAGCAGGATATTATCTTCACAGATTTGTGCACAGAATTAACTTTGCTCAGGGTAATGGAATTTTATAAACACAAAACATCTAACACAACAAGGCTTCACTCCAGTATTAGCTGTAAACTGTACGAGGTGCACACAAAACCATACATTTTGTTTCCACTGATAGCATGCTGCAGTGGTTAAAAAAGGGTCATACTTACATTAGCCTAAAACACTTGAAAACAACTAGGCAATAATGTCTCTGACGAACTCCAGCAGAGTAAATCTTTTTGGCATAAAACATTCTAAGAATTGAGTAAGTGAATCTTTGAAGGCAGCTGCACTATTTTGGCAGAGCGCAAATAATGGCAAACAACTTCTGTTTCAATACCTTAACACGATTACTAATCAACCTTGTAAAGATGGCTTTTCCAAGGGAAACCTCAGTCTTAAAAGCTGAGCTATATGAATAGTGTTTCGTGCCTTCTTTCTTCCTTTTTTATTATAGTAGTAACACAGAATCGAATTTTTCAATATTGATTCCCAAAATTTTCTGTCCATTTCCAAGGAACTTCTGTTTAAATGAATAATGAAAACCCTAAAAAAGTTATGGAAAGTACAACAGTAGGCAGAACAATTTTTACATCTAAATAAACGAATGCTCCAATAGCTCTAAGCAGCTAAGCATGAAACAGTGCAATTCGACAGCAATGTGAGTTAGCAGACAAATCAAATCAGCATTCCCTACCACAACGCATAGCATTTGAGGAGTTTTAAGCATATTGGCTGTCACTCAAAACAGTCCAGTCAAAGCCACGTTATCAGTTAGCAACCCTCAACAAGACATTTCATTAGGATACTTTCCAATTGTCTACCGAGTCCCTCAGTGCCCAAGGACATATAACCAAGAAGTCACTGTAAACATCTGATTTTCTCAGCCATCTACGTGCACTAGCACATAGATGGTGTTTGTGCACACAGACCTTTTCCAACGAAACATGAAGACCTGGAGGACAAGGCAGTAATGCCCCTTGTCGTAAACAGGCCGAAACATGGAAAAGTTTCGTTTCCATGTCCTCCAGGACAAGGCAGGACAATGCAGTAATTGCCCCTTGGACAATTACAAGGGAGGACAAGGCAGTAATGCCCCTTGTCGTAAACAGGCTTGCTTTGTAAACCCTATTCTCCCACTACAGCTCTATCTCCAGATACATCACCAATTATCACAGCTGGAGGGTCAACAACATTCATGCCAATGTCACAAGCTTTCACCTCCAGTCTAACAGTCAGTTTACATGGATCAGACGCGTTAGCTTTAGATGAAGAGCAGTCAGGGACAGCCAGTACCCACAGAGCTATCACAGCCCACTTACGGCATGGTTTGACATTCTTACTCCTGCTCTCTGGCACCAACAGCTTACCTTAAGTGGGTGGGTACTCTATGTTTTGCAACAAGAGGCAACTTGCCTAACTGGGACTCATAGGAAGCAATGCACAGCCCAGAGAAATGCAGGGCAGACATTACCGAAGTCACTAGTTTTTTGGTCAAGGAAGAGTTCATTTTCTTAAATTCTCTGGCAACATGTTTGGAGTGCCATAATTAGAGACATTCAATAGCCATAAAGTGAGGATGGCAGCTAAAACAAATTGTTGCTACCTAGGTTTGTATTAACAAAGCCCTAAAGTTTCCAAAGAACAAGCATTACGCATTAAGGTACATAAACTTTATACTATAAAGAATCGTATAATCTAGGAGACAACTAAATATTTGTACAGCAGAACATCTGATAATACGGACATAATAGGGAGGGGCCTACACACCAGTGAAGAGATTAGTAAAAGCAACTGCTTCTAGAACCAATGAATTTACCTAGAAACACTTACAAGGTGTCTTATCTGTGAAAACAGGTTAAGAATACATTCCATTTATACTTCATTAAAAATTCTTTCTTACCTTTAATTTTCTAACAGCATCTCTTACAACTTCCGTGCCTTTGGGCTGCTCTACTTCCGTACTGCCAAGAAACTGAAAAGATTGTAATTTGTGAGAAATAAGTTATGCATTGAAAGGCCTAATTAACTCAAGTAATCTTATTTTTCCAATTTCCAATTATTTCCAAATAACATTTTGGAAAGACAATCATTTCAACAGTTGATAAGTAACAAATCTTCATACAGCTATTTCTAATCAAAAGAACAACAAGAATTAAATTCTAATTAGACAAATATCAGGAGTTATCAAAAGCAGCTTTTAAAAAACATTTTATTTATCTCGATCCTACACAAGTCTGTAAATTAGAGGTTAAGTACCTTTTTCCACTGGGAAATTGTTATTTTGGTAATATCATCTCTTTTAGAAAATAATGAAAAAATGCAAAAAAAATACTGATATAAGATACTTCCCATGAATCAACACCAGCCAATGGATTGGACTACGTTACTAAAACTTTCATACAGTGATGCAAGATAAATGAAAAAGGCCTGATTTCGCTCTCAGAGCTGCTTGGTACAGTAATTTCATAGATTTAAAGGAACTAGGCTCCAACTTACATAAAAACAAGGCTCATATTTAAAGAATTTCTACTAGGGATCATATTTTTACCAAGTAAGGTTGTAATGAAAACCAAACATACACCTGTTAATATATGGAGCATGATACTTCAAAGGGTCCTTACCATTTCTTTATTTGTACATTGAAATACCTTTACGTTCTTCTATACGATTTTGCTTGCCTTCTACTATACCGTTACAAAAGGTATGATAATCCTGCCTAAACCGCATTTGTGTAATAATTTAATTAATCTTGAATTGCCTGATTTTCACATTCACACCATGTACCTGTATATGGCAAAATAATGCCAGCAAGAAAGAACAAACCCCCTTTTTTCTCTAAAGTACACAATTTTGTGTAACACGATGCACAGAGGTATGTATAATTTTTGTCTTAGCAGTTTCAAAAGGAACTTAAATTTATGAAGCTACAGATGCTTTCAACATAGTAACTCTTAAGTTTTTAATTTTATTAAAACTTCAAAACGTGTTTACTGTAGTCAATGTGCTCAAGCTATACTCCTGCAAAGAAACTTTGCAGCTCTACCAATAATTAAGTCTCATTAGAAATTTGCTACTGACTCTGAAATACGATGTGCCACCTTGAATACAACAGTGTGTAAATCAAAACACCACGCACATCTGCTGTCAATATTCTCTACTATTACAATTCTCCAGCTAGGAGACCAAGGTTTTATAGTAACAAAGCAGAAATCTCTATTATTGATTTGATGTCTTTCATGCAACATCTCCAATGACTTTAAATAGAGGGTGTGCTCCTCCCTGGAAAAGTGACAGTTGCAGAAAATGCATACAGAGAAAGAAGAACGATTCTTGGACATTATGGATACTACATGAGATGGAGACAGAAAGGGAAACATGAGCGAATATATGTGAGCAAATGTATGTGAGTAAAAAAAAAAAGGTAACCACAAGCTTAAATGGACAAGAAAGAAAGTAGATACGGTCAGATGAGAATCTAAGAGGAATGCCGATAATACCAGGTATTTGTACACAAGCATATTTAAACATCACACACTTGGCACAACACAAGAGGTAGAAGTGTAATTGCTGTAAATTTTGTGAGCAGGCCAGGGTACATTATATACGGTACAGGAATCCTGCATAAACACAGGAAATAACAGCTGCAAGTGTGGACAAGGCTCCATGAACAGACAGCACAGGTCACTGCTGCCCACGGTGACATGGAAGACGGCTGAGCCTACTTCATCCACACATGCTTCCTAGTATTTGTGTAGTTTTGAAACTGGCAGCTCCAGAGGCATTATCAATGTAAGCAGCCTGGTACTTCTTGATACAGATTTAGGGCCAGGCCTTGGGTGGAACTGTGTCAAGTACACTTCTAGATGCCCCGGGGTATGCTGCCTCGCCTGCAGCCACTTCTCCAGCAGGGCACAGGGCTGTCATACATTTCTTATTTGCTTACTTTCATCCAGATGACTGGTATCTGAGATAGCAAAAGATATCTCAAAAGCAATAGAGTCATTTCCCCTCCCCTTCCCTCTCAGCTATCTCACTCTTATTCAAAGTCCAAGAAAGATGAAGGTATCTTCGCTGTATTCAACAGATCCCAACAGCAGACCAATCTTTCCATGATCAGTAACTTCCATAAATACTGTTTTCCCAGGGGCTTGTACCTCATGTTAACTCACATTACTGCCTTAGAAAGTGTAAGCACCAAATTAAGCTTCTGCCGCAGCTAGGGAATCTGTTAAATGTCACTGAATTTTTAAGCCCATAGTAATGTTCCCAAAATCAGAAATTACCATTTCTGATCATGGAGGGGATTCTATCTAAAAAGAAAGATAAACTGCTAAAGCACAGGTTTAAATGACTGACAAAACCTGAAGAAACACACACTAATTGGGTTTGCTCGACAAGTTACAAAAGAAATAAGGAACCAAGACCCAAAGTATATGGAAACATCATGAGCATTGTATCAATATTTATGGAACATAACTTAACCAACCAGAATTCCACCAGTCACTTGCAATGCGCTGTCTTCCAGATGAGTATCAGTTTTGACATTAAGCATCACTACTGAAATTTTTATTGCTCTCAGCAGTTTTGAACTGGATGTGGAATTAGAGCTTATGATTAATAAACTATTCAGCGTAGGAAAATATAGTAAGTTGCATTTAATCCAGAAATATAAAGAAGATTTGTAGGTTAAGTGTTAATACCAATCAGAGATGACGAGACCATGCCATGGATTGCATTGTTTCTATCTGATACATATTTGTATCTCTGTTAACTGCAGTTCTATTTTTTTTATTCAGGTAAGCTCAAATTTTAGTTATAACTGCTTACACATTTCATGTCTGACCTTCATAAGCTTTCTCATTTAATTTTTTTTTTAAGAGCAATAACAACAGCAATTAAGAGCAAATATTCTGAATATTTCTATTAGACTGATCTATTTTGGGGCAAAATACTAACAGAATTTCAGATCAAGACAAGTTTTTTCTAATTATAACAAAAGAATGACTATGCAGTACAGGTTTAACATACAGCTAACTGTCGCGGTTTAACCCCAGTTGACAACCAAGCACCACACAGCTGCTCGCTCCCCCTTCTCTCCCCGCCATCCCCCCCTGCCCCCACTGGATGGGGGAGAGAATTGGAAAAATGAGAAAACTCATGGGTTGAGATAAGAATAGTTTAATAATTGAAATAAAATAAAAAAATAATAAATTGTAATAAAAGGAAAACAACAAGAGAGAGAGAGAGGAACAAAACCCAGGAAAAACAAGTGATGCAACTGCTCACCACCTGCCAACTGATGCCCAGCCAGTCCCCGAGCAGCGATGACTGCCCCTCACCAACTCCCCCCAGCTTATATACTGAGTATGACGTCATATGGTATGGAATATCCCTTTGGCCAGTTCGGTCAGCAGTCCTGGCTGTGCTCCCTTCTTGTGCACCTCCTCGCTGGCAGAGCATGGGAAGCTGAAAAGTCCTTGACTTAGTATAAACACTACTTAGCAACAACTAAAACATCAGTGCGTTATCACATTATTCTCATGCTAAATTGAAAACACAGCACTGTACCAGCTACTAGGAAGGAAATTAACTCTATCCCTGCCGAAACCAGGACACTAACATATTAACTGGAGGCTTTTTATTGCTTGCTTTTGTATCTGCTCTGTACCTTTTCTGTGTGATCTGCCCTATCATCATATTTTGTTTAATATTAGGTACCAATTACTATGGCATTACTCATAATAGTTAAGCTAAGCAAACACATATACATTTGCAAAGCTGAGACTTTAGATGACAAGGTCAACATGACGAAGGCATCTGTGTTTGTATAATCCCTAGGCACAATGGATGCGCTGCCACCTCCGGGATTTCTAAAGTAAATAACTAACAAGTAATTCACCATCCTCATTAAATGGGAAGATGGCCATTTCATTACAGTCTTTTCAGCAGATTTTTCTCGCGAAATCTCACGCAAACACAGAGAACAAATGCTTGTTATATCAGGAATTCGGTACAGCTGTGGCATGAATAGTATAAATATTCATTGTGGAAGAGTTTCTGCAACAAAAACTTCAAAGCAAAATTGGTAAATATGAAACTTCCCTTTTCAAGATCAGGCTCCTTTAGAAAGCAATACTGATGCAGAATTCTAGATGGGAACTTTAAAAATCAGCGACTCCTTTGATCACTTCAGGTTGCCTCCTGCAGCTATGGTCCTTTTGCAGACCTGGCTGATGAGGAACGACAACAACATGAAATGTAACTGTTCCCGAGAGTCAAGCTAATACAACTCCTACGCTTAATTGCAGAAGAGAGAAACAGAAAATAATGTAGCAGTTCCCCTTCAGATCATTCAGTATTAATTCTATATGCAAATTAACAAATGCATTAAATTCTTAAGTGTTCATTAACATCAAATACATAATACAGATGAATAATGTTTACATGTGATTGTTACATGTATTTACTGTTTGCAAATAGTAAAAAGGTTATTCTTGAAGTTGGTGTACTTCATGCATAAGCCAATTCAAACAAAAATGATCAGTAAGTTAGGCATGCCACTACTCATCTTTTTAAATATTTATGTATTGCTAAGTTTAGTGCTAATGAGAAGTTCACCATAATCATACTGAGTTTCAGCTGGATACTTTACGAAGTTCGAAGAGGATGACATTTAATATTTTGTATAACAAAGCAAGCTAAGGCAATGTTTTTCCCATACAAATTACTACACATTTTTCATTGCAGTCTGCCATTTGTCCAAACACATTCCCTACAAAACTGAGGAAAGGTTATTTTTCTAATATATTACTTATTCTGATCTCGCTTGCAGCTGTCTATAATCAGAAATAACTTTTATGAGGTCAACAGATCTTATCAGTCAAAACAGTTTAACGGTTCTTTTAAGGTACATTAAGCCTTGTTCTTCCCTCATTGATGTTTGCCATTAAGCAAGTGAGCTGTTGACCAGCC